GCCCCGCTATTCGAGAAAGTCGCCAGGAGGGCTAAACACTCGACCCCTGGGGTGGGCGGGTTGCCGTCTGCCGCGTGGGCTGCGGTAGACTCCGGCCCCCACATGCTTGCCTCGATGTTCAGCTGGTTTTGTCAAGGGCAGGCGCTACTCGACGCTGCCGGTGTCGCCCTGCAGGTTTCCTCCCCCCAAGGGCTCCGAGGCCTCTGACACTGCTGGTTGGCCCTGCGAGAGGTCCCCTGATCGGGTTAGGCTAATGGGTCTTCGCAATGCTGACATGAAGAAGATTCTGATTTCGGCCGTGAATACGATTCTGAAACCAGTTGTGGACTTCGCGGCCCTGCCCCCCCAGCGCGGCTTTATTCCAGGACGTAAAAATAGACGCGACATTCATGAACTCGACGCCCTGGGGCGGGCAGCCTTTCAGCGCCCACTCGCGCGAAGCGAGTCCCCGATTCTCCTTGGCTTTGACTGCGGCCAGGTTTCCCCCGGCCTCTTCCAGCCCTGCCTCATTCAGCCCCTGGGCACCCTGGGGTTCTGCGAGGCGCCCCTCTCCTTTTATCAGGTTCCTGCGTGAAGCCGCCCAAGGGGTTATTGCCGGGGGGGGCACTCTGGCGGAAGTCTTCTGGCTGAGATCTGGGGCCATTCAAGGGTGCGGCCATTCGGGCCCCCTTGCGTGCTTTTGCTTCTGCCCCCGATGCTCCAGGGCCTGAAAACGAACCTCGAGCGCGTGGATCAGGGGCCCAGACGAGCGCGTGCTGACGATTTGAGAGTGGTCTTGTTTGAGTTGTTTTTTTGTTTTCCAGATTGTCTTTGCGGCCCTCCAGACAATGAAGCTGGTTGCGGGGCTCTCGATTAAGATTAGTAAGTGCACTGCGATTCCTCTCGCGGGCTCGATCTCCGAGGCTCTTCGAGGCGAGGTTCGGGGTCTCCTGGGCCGATGCGTTCCCGAATGGGCTGAGGTCGTCATTGAAGGCTGTCTGTTGTATCTTGGCATCTGGCTTGGACCACGCGCCACTGTTGAGCGGTGCTGGCGTGAACCTATCGCCAAAGTTCGCACAAGAAGTCGCGTGCTCAGCCGCGCGGGCGCGGCGAGTAGCGTCAATTCCACACTGCGCCGTGCCCGAGTTCATTATGTTTTTTCTTTTGTTTCTCAGTTTGTTCCAATGCCGCCCGCCTTCCTCGCGTTCGAGAGAGGCGCCGCCTCGCAGGTCCTCAGATGCCCGATCGGCATGGCCAGCAATGAAGCTGCCACTGAACTTCAGGAATGGGGCGGGCCCCGGCTGCCCTCGTGGGCCGCCCATGCTGCTGCTGCGCTGCTCCGAGCTGCTGCCATCACCTTCTGTGGCTTCCCGCCCCGCCTCGACTTGATGAAGGCTGAGGCGATCGGCTGGCGGCAGGAAGTCGCCGACGGACATTTTGGCGACGCCCCGCTCCTCCGCCACCGTGCGGACGCGTAGGTGCCCCAGTTTCTGGAAGGCGCCTGCGTTCGTCGAGAACCTCGACGGCGCGCTCTTTCCCTCCTCGGGCGGGTGGACGGCTGCCGCTCGATCATCCCGCGCCGGCGTGCTGTCCTGCTCTGATCGACGCTCTCGGCCTCGACGAGCCATTGCCGCCACATTCGGGCCTTCTCACTGCTGAGCGGGCGCTGAGCCGAACCACCGTGCGTTACTTCAGTCGAGTGCCCAGCGACAGAGGGCCCTTCCTGGATCGTGCCCACTGGGAGAAGATTCGCGAGCTAATGCGGCCCCCCCTACAAAGCTGGGCCATGGCTGCAATCAGGAGGAGGACCAACGGTTGGCTGACGTCAGCACTCATTGTGCACCCAGACGGTCATCTGCGATGCTGCCACGGACGCAGCCGACCTGATCGGCTTGCACACCTCGCGTGCCCGCGGCTCCGTTGCGCCGCAGTTCCGTCGGCCCCCGCCACTCTTCCAGCTCGCTTGGGCCTCGCGGAACCCGAGCCCGAGAGGTCTGAGGAGATGTTCGTTGCCTATCAGATCTTCAACTTGACCAGGGAACGCCGCGGCACAGTAGTCCCCGGGACTCTTTCCTCGCTCACGGTTGCCGCTGCGCGGTCGCTGCGTCTCTCGCGCCCTGCGCGGGCGCTGCAAAAGTGGAACCCACCGTCGAGGGTACTCATCGGCTCCACTCGAGTCCATGATATTCGTTCTACGTCCGACCCCAGCACGACTTCCGACCCCCAGCTCCTCGGGCCCGGAGAATGATGCACCTGGCGGCGACCTGTCCCGACCAGTTCCGACTGAGGGCCTTGGGGGTGGAGCGTCTGCGGGATCGTCGTCGTCGGTTCGCACGTCGCCTTATTCTGCGAGCTTTCCAGCGTTGTCTTTGCCGTGCCGACCAGGAGTTTGGGGCGCCCTCAGATTGCCCCGTTCAGTGCCCTACAGGTGTCAAGCTCATACTCCAGCCCCTGCGTCGACGCGCACAGTTAGAACGCAAGTCCCGTCGTGGGCGTCGGGCTCACCGTCGCCACTTGCTGGGTGCAAGCCGCTGTTCTCATCGTGCGCTAGCATTGGCGTTATATCGCAAGTCCCGTTGTCGTGTTCGGGCTCGCCGTCGCCTTCCCCAGCTGGATTCGCCGCGGTGTCCCCCGCGTTGGGCGTTAGATCGCAAGCCCCGTTGTCGTGTTCGGGCTCGCCGTCGCCGTTTTGCCGAAGCCTCGACGATGGGCCGCTGGCCCATGGCGCTAGATCGCAAGTCCCGTTGTCGTGTTCGGGCACCACGCCGCCGCGCAATGAAGCTTCTGGCGTCAACCCTCGGACCAACGTCGCCCTCGTCATCTATTTATGCGGGAACGTCGGTGACGCGCTCGAGAGCGGTTGCAACGGTTTGGGGTGGAATACGGGTAGGTCTCGATGAAATTGTGACGAGTATCTCCGGAGGCTTCGGCCACTGTGACGGCGGCGGGGGTGATGGGCGGTCGGCCACGGTCTCCATCCATATCCCCGGCCCCACCGACATTTCTCCCACCTACCCCCCGCTGTTCTGCGGGGCGACGGCACCCACGCCGTGCTGGGCCCCTGCCCCTTCCTGGATTCCGATTGCGTCCTGGACGCCTGCTTCCGCGCGTGCGCCGCTTCCTCCGTCGGCCCCTTGCGGGATAGGACGCCCGCTCGCCACCTCCCCTTCGCACCCTCCCACTTGTTCCCTCCTGTCGGTCCCCACCCACTTGAGAGCTTCCAGGACCATCTTCTGCACTTGTCTTATTTCTATGCTGCAGGATGCTGACCTCACCTCGCCTGGCCCTTCGCTCGCGATTATTGCCTCTGCCGCTGCGTGCCCCCTTCCCGCTCCCTCTCCCCACGTCGCCTCGATTGACAGCGCGGGTCTCCGCTCTTGTGCGTCCCGCCACTCTTCTCCCTGCCATCTGAACACCTCTTTCAGCTCGTCCGAGTTGTCTGCCGCCGCGGCCGCTGCGCGTGCATCCTCCATCGTCGATGCTGACGCTGCCAGCAAGCGAAACATCGAGAGGGGCAGGAGGCCACGGGGTCTCTAGCCGTTGCTGGTGACGACGTTGCCCCCTCTACGCTCGTCTCCTCCCTCTCCCTCTCCCTCTCCTCCTCCTCCTCCTCCTCTTCCTCCTCCTCCTCCTCCTCCCCCTCCTCCTCCCCCTCCTCCTCCTCCTTTCGGAGCGTGCCGCGAACGCGCCGGGGCGGCCGCCGCGCGCTCGAGGCACCCCCCCGGGCCGCCGGGTCTCAGAGGTCCTCCACTGATCTGATGAAACAGCTGGACCTAAACGTAACGGTGTTTTGGCGACTTCGTGCGCCGCCGTCGTTTCGATGTCGTTTTGCGGCGAAAATGGAATCAAGACAAAACAGAACGAAAACGAACAACGCCGTTCAGGTCCAGTTCTGTCTTATGATGTTGCAGCCTGCTTTTGCCTTGATCACCAGAGAGAGTTTCGGGCGCCAGGAAAGTACTGAAATTGCAGGGTTTTCGCGCGTCGGGACCTGGGAGGTGATGTTCGTTTGACACTGCTTCGACACTCTTCCGGGCGTTCGAGACTATTTAAGCAGATGTGGTCCTTCAGTGCGAAGGGAGCAACATGATACTTATCCTCGCCCGAGTGAATTTCGCCATGGCTTCGTCATGCACAGGGGGAGCGACGGAGCCTCTCGAGAGGCCCCTTGGAAATCTGCAGAGGCCTCGGAGGCCCTCGCGGCGCTTTGCGAGGGCCCTGCAGGTGTTTCCTGCTTGAGGCGGGCGTGCTGGCCGGCACGGCAGGTGGGCCGGCCTTCGCTCGACTGCGCGTAAGAGTGACTTTTCTCCGGAGCGACCCCTGGTGCGGGCCCAACGGACTCCCCCGATCGCTGAGCGCGAGGCCGTAGCAGCGGCTTGCGCGCCTGGGTTTGGCCGCCCCGCGTCCCCCGTGAAGCCGCGACCCAAAGGTCGTTTCCCCAGGGCCACTCTTCCGTGTAGCCGACGCGCCCATCGTGCTGGTTCCTTCTTCGCGAGGCGAGCCACGCGCCTCGCGCGAAGCGCCGGGCGGGGCGGGCGCCGAAACCCCGCCCCGTCGGAGGCCCGCCGCCCCCCCCTCTCGGCCCGTGACTCGCTGGGCCTCGAGGGGCGTCGGTCCGTCTCGTGGCCCAGGCCTCCCACGCTCGAGCACGGCATGTTCGCGTCGTGTCGCCGGGCGTGCACGGCATTCGAGCAGCGGCGAAGCTTCCTGGCGTGCCTATTGTCGTACCGAACAGTGTTCTAAGATTTTTTTGTTTCCCACGAAATGTGTTGAGAACATGTCCGGTTGGGGCGGTCTTGTTTCGTGGCATCGGGTCTGCGTTCTAAGAACACTGTTTTTGTGATAGGAACACTTTTGGGTTCTGCGAACCTTTCGTGGTAGGACGACAGGAATGCCGGGACGGTCGGCCCCTGCTCAAGGCAAAGGGGGGGGGAAGCCGGCTCGCGCCCTGGGCGCGCCGCGGGCCGCGGAGGAGCGAAACCGGCAGAGGGAACCCCCTTTTTGGTCGCGGCCGGCCCGAGGAGGCGCTGTCGCCTGCGGCTCCAGCCGGTGGGAAGTGAGGCCGCGGGGCGCCGCAGGGAGGGTCCGTCCTCCAGATTTCGTCATAAAAGGGAGGGGGTCTGGACCCTCCAAGACAAGCCATTTCAGACCTCCCCTGTGGGAGAACCCTCCAAAACATCGTCCCCTGACCCCCCAGGCCCCCCAAGATAGCCTGGAAGAGACCCCCCCCCCCCGAAATGAGACCCCCCTCCCTTTATTACGAAATCTGGAGTATCGTTTCACCTGCCCCCGTCCCCATCTCAATCCCCTTCCTCGGCATCGCTCGGACGTGTGCATGTTTCCTCCGGCGAGGGCCATCGAGGAGCATCCTTGATCAGTTGGCGAAAAGTCCACGCACGAAACCGAACAGAAACACAGGGAGTGGACGTCCGAGCGATGGCGAGCTTCGAGACCACCACCAAGTTATATACCGCCCCGGTTGGGGATGCACCCCTCGCAGCCCGAAGGATACGGCCTGGATCTCCATCAGGGGGGGCAAATCGGCCAGTGGGGCCCAGGCCACGCCGCTGGGGATAGGGATCGGATCAAAGATGCTCAATTACGAGTCGGGATCTGGCAAAGGAGGTGTGTGCCCCGGTGTGTGTGTGTGTGTGTGTGTGTGTGTGTGTGTGTGTGTGTGTGTGTGTGTGTGTGTGTGTGTGTGTGTGTGTGTGTGTGTGTGTGTGTGTGTGTGTGTGAGTTCGATCGGTTTTCGCACCGAGCCGTCCAAGACGGACGCCCCCCAGCCGCCAGCAGCTCCCGACTGGTGCCGACGGGTGGGGAGTGCGGGGGGCATCCGTTCGAGGCAGTTCCGTGCACCAGCGGATCGAACTCATAGCCCCCCCCCTTGAGGGTCCCCCCCCTTTCTGTTGGATCCCGAACGGGTCGCCATGGCTCTTTGGGAAAGCGGGTCCCACAGGGCCCGGGCCCCGCAGGCTCTCCGCCGCTGTCGGGCTCCGCGGGGCCCTCCTCCACGGGCCGCGGGGCCGTCGGAAGACTGGCTGGGGACGGAGGTCTCGTCCTCGAGGAAGGCCGAGGATCAGGAGGGGAAAAAACACACAGACACAATTCATCGTCGATTCCCCAGAACATGTGGGAAAATATGGGGAGTGGGGGGGAGACAAAAAGCCAGAACATAGAGGAGCAGATGGGGAATCCTGTTATTTGTGTGTATTTGTTTGTCTGTCACAGTTCCCCTTCAAAGGACCAGTTTTTCCCCCATGCTGAGCGGGGCATCGGGGGATGAGGCAGGTTTTCGGCACGGTCGCGGCGGGTGCGGAAAGGAGGGGCACGAGGGTCGACAGTCGCAGGAAGAAGTGGTGCCGACCTTCCTCGCCGAGCGCGTTGCGTTACTCGCACAGGAGGAGAAAAAACACACAGACAGAATTAATCCTCGATTACCCAGAAAATATTGGAAAATATGGGAAGTGGGGGGGGGAAGACAGAAACCCAGAACATATATGGAAATGTGGGGAAATAATTTATTTGTGTGTATTTATTTGTGTGTCCCAGGGCCCCTTCATACTCGCACAGTGCCTCCTCGCAAACGTCCGAAAAAAGACATGTCTGCCTTGATGTACTTCATCGCAGATCCCCCCGCGGGGGATCCAGGCCATTTACGAATGGTCGCTCTGCGAGTCGTGGGACGCACCGGTCTATACTCGATGAAGACAACCATGGCAGAAACATTTTCAGGAGGGGGAAAAAACACAGACACAATTAATCGTCGGTTCTTAGGGGTGTATATATATATATACATATATATATATATATGTGAAAATATGAGAAATCGGGGGGAATACAAAAACCTATAATTTATTGGAAACTATGGAGAATCCAGTCATTTGTGTGTATTTATGTGTGTGTCCTGGGGCCCCTTCGCATTGATGCTCTGCTCTCTGCGCGATACAGTGGGGGCGCGCATCAAGAAACCGGATGTCTTTCGTCAGGGTGCCTTTGGTTTCTTCGCGCCGCGTGTTGCGCGATGGGTTCTCGCGGTTGCCAAGAAACTTTCGTGTCCAGGATCCCCTTGGTTTCTTCCCAGTTGCGCTTCGGGCAATCAAACGGCCCGCTACCGAAGAAGACCCCAGGCGCCAAAGGCTCCTTGAGTTTCTTGCATCCTTGCGACAATACAGCACTCCCCGCGCACGCGGGCGAGCGCGCGTGCGCCCTGGCCTGATAGGGTTTGCATTGTCAGCATTGGCTGTGTATTGCCCAGAATACAAGAGTCGTTATGTTGGTCTGGAAACTAGAATCCACCCATAACGGTGACCGATTGGATTTTGAAGTTAGCATGGGTTCTTGTGAATGTTTTCTATTGTGGACAATACAGCACTGCCCGCGCAGGCGGGCGCGCGCGCGCGTATGCGCGCGCACTCGCCGTGTGCCCTGGCCTGGTAAGGTTTGCATTGTCAGAACAGGTTCTGTATTGTCCAGAATAGAAAAGTCGCCACGTTGGCCTGGACATTAAAGTCCACCCTTAGTGGTGATCGATTGGATTTTGAAGTTAACATGGGCTCTTTTGGACGTTATCTGTTGTCCACAATACAGCACTCCCCGCGCACACAGCGCGCGCGTACCTGCGCGTATGCGCCGTGTGCCCTAGCCTGCTAAGGTTTGCGTTGCCAGCGTAATTCGGTGTTGTACTTTCCAGAACGCAAGAAGTCGCCATGCTCGCTTGAAAAATAAAGTCAACCCTTGACGGTGACCAATTGGATTTTGAAGCTAACATGGGCTCTTGTGAGTGTTTTCTATTGTGGGCAATGAAGCACTCCCCGCGCACGTGGTCGCGCGCGTATGCGCGAGTACGCGCCGGGTGCCTTGGCCGGATAAGGTTTGCACTGTCAGTATTGATTCTGTATTGTTTAGGATACAGAAGTCGCCATGCGTTTCTTCCCAAACCGTGCTGGCGTATTCTATGAGCGCGGCCTGCTAAGAAACTGCTCGGGCCAAGCCCCGTGGGTTTCTCCGTGCGACGCCGTCGGATGAGAAACCCAAGTCCTGGGCAAGAAATTCTGCGGTTTTTCAGGGCTTGGTTTCTTGCGATGGTTTCTGGTGGCCGCGCCCCCACTGTATCTTGGACTGGCGCTGCCTCCCCCCCACCCCTGGCGGCGCCTCCGGCGCCGAACCCCGCGCGCCAGGGCGGGGGGCGCAGCGCCGATCGAAGAAAGTTGCGCCGAACTCGAAACGTTATCGTGTTTAGGTTTTTTTGTTCTAGGTTTTTGGAAGTCGATGAATGGACAGGAAGCGTGCTGCCAAATAGTTGTCAGAGGTCTAGGGAAGGTGTCAATACTTAGTTCAACATGTAAAAATCATGCTTTAAACATGCGCAGGACATTTTAATTCGATGATAGGACTGTCCGGGTGTCCATGGTCGTGGCATCCACAATTCTAAATTTATGATGCTCCAACCTACTTTAGCCTCGACCACCAGGAAGAATTTCGAGCGCCCGAAAGAAAATAAAATAATAATAAAAGAATAAAGCATCGAGGGTGTTCACGTGTCGGACCCTCGGGGGTCTAGATTCAGGAGGGGAAACACACAAAGGCACAATGAATCTTCGACTCCCAGGAGAATATGTGAAAATATTGGACATGTGAGGGGGAGAGACGAACATCCATAACATATCGAGAAAGATTGGGCGTCCTAGGATTTGAATGCGTTTATCTGAGCGTCCTTGGGCACCTTGATAGATGTCGCGGCCCTTCCATATTTTTCGCCTTTTGGACCTCCAGGGAGGTCCTGGCTGCCACTGGTGGACTCGCCCCGGAAGCGTGGTCTGAGCGCACACCTGGGAGAGGTCTAGGAAGTAGCATTATGTCGGCCCTGTCCCTCGACGGGGGAATATTCAAAAATAGTCAAGAATAGTCTGGAGACGATTCGCTGACTACTTGTGCGTATTTGTTTGGAATCTGTTTTGGGTATTGCGAAGGCCTTGCGGCCGGGGCCCCCGACCCTGGAGGGGAACGACGACAACGGCGGTGGCGGTGACGACGACGATGTTGACATGGGTCCAAGTCCTCATGGATGCTTCTTGGGGGCCTCTTGTGGGCCTCTTGGGGGTCTCTGGGGGCTTGCTGCGGGCCTCTTCGGGGCCTTTTGGGGCCTCTTGGGGGCCTCCAGGTCCTTCCTGGGAGCCTCTCGGGGCCGAGGGCTCGAAATGTACGTTCTGGTCGTTCGTGTGGGCACCCTCTTGGAGCCGTCTTGGGGGCCTCCTGGGCCGTCTTGGAGGAGTTTGGGGCCGTTTTGGGACCCTCTAAGGCTGTTTTGGGTCCCTCCTGGAGCCCTCTTGGGCCGTCTTGGGGCGATATGGGGAGCCTCTTGGGCCGTCGTGGAGCGCCGGGAAGCGGAAGAGGCGAGAACGTCGAAATGCTTCAAAAACAACTCGGAAATAATTGTTCCTCCTGGGGCTTTCTGGGGAGTGAGTGTTCCTGGAGGCCTCTTGGGGCGTCTTGCAGGCTCTTGGGCCGCCTGGAGGCCGCCCAGGCGGCCAAAGGCATCCAAGACGTCCTCAGACAGCCCAAAAAGGCTTCCAACAGGCCCAAGAGTGCCCCAAGATTGTCCAAAAGGTCTCCGGAAGGACCCTGAGCAGCCCAACGACATTCATTTTAAGTTGGTTTTTGTATGTTTCTGGACTCGCCTTTCCGGGCTTCCGACGGCCCAGGACGGCTTGAGAGGCCCCGGAGATATTCCCAAGAAGCCCCCGGGAGCCCCAGAGGGTCCCAAAACGGCCCAAGAGGGCCTTTAGAGGTCCCCGAAGGAGCTTCAAGTGGGCCCCATGAGGCTCCCAAGAGGGTCCCAAGTGGCCCCATGGAAAGCTCCGAGATTGCCGAAGGCTTCGAAGACGCCCAAAGACGGCCCCAAAGGGCCCCAGGACGGCCCAAGCGGGTCCCAAGAGGGGAGGCATGTGTGTGCGGGGCACGTAATTGCTTGAGCCCATTTTAAGATGTTGCAGCCCCTTCAGAAGCAGTCCCTCCGCCGCTGCTGGGGCTCAAGCTTTCAGGGGGTATGCTTCCGAAGCAGTGCCCAGCCAGCTTGCTCGGGGCCGTGCTCACCTTTTGGGCAGGCTTCGCGGTCCGCGGGGGATTCGGCCCCTTGGCCCTGGCGGCGGACGCTGAGGGCTGGCAGCGGACCTGGCCAGGCCACGAGCTGGAGGCCAGCTCGACAGCTACCACCGCCACGCTGCTGTCCACGACCTCGACGGTGGTGGACTGCAGCAGCCCGGCGCCTGTGGCGCCAGTGCCGGCCGCGCCGCAGCCGCTGCGGGTGGTCGGAGACGGGCTGACGGCCACGGTGGAGATCCCGCTCGCCGCGCTGGTTGGAGCTTCGGCCGCTGGCGCCTGCGGCGCCGCCTGGAGGCAGCTGACGTGGCGCTCCTCGGCGAGGGTCGCCTTCGAGCCGATCGGCGAGGCCAGGATCCACGTGGCGCAATGGCGGCGCCGCTGCCAGATGCGGCCATTGTGCTGCTGATTTTGGTTCAGTACGAGGAAGACGCGGGCTGGGTTCACGAGAGGTTGCTGCTGTGGCCGAGCGCCGCCGATGGCTCGGAGTGGATGGTGTACGCGGCGGGAACCGACTTGCATGCAGAGGCCTGGACGGACTACCGCTCCGCAGTGACGTGGGCGGGCAGGAGGCGTTCCCCCACCTGGCGTTCGGAACGTTGTCACGTTCATCAGGGCTCTGCTCGACGCCGAGGCGATCAGCCTCCTGAGGCGCGCTCGGGGCGAGGTCGTGCTGGAGCATGGCAGCGATGCCGCGGACTGGCGGACACAGGACGCAGTTGACTGGAACGGTGGGCGGCTGGCCGTGCCTTCCGCGACGGCGGTGGAGGTGCCATGGGTGCGGCGGCGGTTGCGGCGCAGGCACTCGGCGGCCCACACCGAGCCCGCCGCCTTGCCGCTCGCCGACGGCGGGGTGCCGCCGCCTCTGCCGCCTGAGTCGCGGCCCCCCTGGGCGCTGGGCGCTGGCGTCGATGGATGCTGGCGACGCGTTCGGGCGCGAGCTCGAGCTGAGTGCCGCTGCGATCCTTCGAGAGCGACGCGGGCTCGACCGAGGTGCCGATGGTGAGTGGGTTCCGATCGAGTACGTCACGACAGAAGAGATCGAGAGCTGGCGCGACGCCGAGATCGCGGCGGCCGATCGGCTGAGGCCTGCGAGGGCCAGGCTGGACGATCGCCTCTTCCGTGCCGGTGAGGTTGGGGGCGCTCGCGCGCCACCCGCGGAGCCTGGTGGGACAGGCGCCGCAGCTGCTGACAGTGCTGGACAGGACGACCTCCACACTTGTTGGACCGACGTGGACGAGACGGGAGCCCGTTTCAAAGAGTGGCGCAAGGCGGTGCAGGAGAGCACGCAGGAGGTCTTCTCGGACTCCAGCTTGCGCAGACCGCCCGCCCGCTTGGAGGCGCGCCGCATGATGTGCCGCCACGGCGGCGCGCCGGAGATCTGGTTCCAGGAGCGGCGCAAGGAGGCAGGGATCTCTCGGCGAGACCGAGCATACCACGAGGTGCAAACACTCATAGAGTGTTTGTACCTCGCGGGCGCCTGCGACCAGGTGAACATGGGGGAGCTCGCGTCTCTGGAGGTGGTCGCTCGCCGGCTGCTGCAGTGCGCGGGGGCTTGCGCGCGCGGGGCGGACCGCGCCAACTGGGCCGCGGCGAAGCACCTGGCGGGGACTACCAACCCGCAGGACCTGGTGCCGGACGCGCTGCGGAGCTTCGCGAGCCGGCGCAGCAAGGAGGAGCGCGAGCTGGAGGCGCTTCGGGCGCGCGCCATAAGGCCCCTGGCGGCGCGCCAGGCGACGGCGCCGCGGGGCTGCTGCGGCGGCTGCGGAAGCTGGTGGGCCGGCGCTCCCTGGAGGCGGCGCGGCAGGAGAGGGCGCTAAAGATGGCGGAGACGGTGGCCGCGGCCGCGGCCGCGGACGCAGTGGCGGGCGGGGCTGCGGGCTTCGCCCGCCGGACACATGACGCCCGGGGCCGATGGGGGGCGGGCGGCCGACCGCTCCCTGCAGATCCAAGGGCAACCGAGGGCTGCGGATCTCTTCCTTCCTGCCCGTGGCCCAGCTGGCCAGGCTGCTGGATGATTGGCGCGAGGGCCCCAGCGCGGCCCAGCGGCGGCGGTGGCTTCGCGACAACCGCAGAGGCCGCCGCCGTCGAGCTCGAGGATGCTGCGGCAGCCGCGCCCGAGCTGCAGGCAGCAGTGGCAGGAGCAGGCGTGGCGCAGGTGGTGAGAGGGCACTGCATCGTCGTCTCACGCCTGGAGAACGGCGACGGGGCCATGGCCTGGTGCCTGAAGTGCGGCCGCCGCTTCTGGAAGAGGTCCCCACCTGCAGGGACTGGCCTGCTGGGCAGCTGCAAGGGGCGGCCCGCCCCTGGCGAGCGGGCGGCAGAGGCGAGGCGGCTCCTGATGCGCCTGCAGGAGCCGAAGAGCAAGGCGCGGCTCCTCGCCCCGCAGGCGCCCACGGAAGAGGAGCAGGCGCGGCTCGCGGCGGTGCTCCGTGGTGGCGCTGGCGCGGCAGGCGGCGCTGGGGCCCCCGCTGGGGCTGGGCGGCCGCCGCGCTGGGGGCTGCGGCCAGCCGTGGCGGATGCCTGGCAGGCGGCCGCGCTCCACGGCTTCGCCTCGCCCGCCGCCGCGGCGCGCTGGGCGCAGGCGCGCGTGGAGGCGGGCTGGGAGTCGCCCTTCGGCGACGGCGGCGCGGCGTGACCGCGCTTCGACGGCACCTGGTTTTGTCCGCGGGCAGGGCGCCAGGGGGCCGAACAGAAAAATTGCCCAAAATGGCCTCCTCCTCCTCCTCCTCCTCCTCCTCCTCCCCCTCCTCCTCCTCCCTCCTCCTCCTCCTCCTCCTCCTCCTCCTCCTCTCCTCCTCCTCCTCCTCCTCCTCCACCTCCTCCTCCTCCTCCTCCTCTCCTCCTCCTCCTCCTCCTCCTCCTCCTCCTCCTCCTCCCCCCCTGGAGCCGCCGGCCTCTGAGGTGCCCCCACGAGCGACGAGCGACGGCGCGCGCCCATCGGCGAGCAGCGACGAGCGGCGACGAGCCGCGACGGGCCGCGACCGGCGAGCGACGGCGAGGCACGGCGAGGGGCGCGGGGCCGCGACGAGCCACGGCCACGGCGAGCGACGGTCGGCGGGCCGCGACGAGCGATGCCGAGCGCTCTTGGGGGCCGCCCGCCCAGGGCAGCTCCTGCGCGCGGTCGCGCGGAGGGGGGAGGAGCCTCGCCGCCCACCAAACCACCCCTAACCCGACCCGAAGGCTTCAGTTTGCCCTCCGTTTCCAGTGGGGGGGGGGGGTCAGGGAACGTAGAGAAAACACATACGGAACCCGTACCCCCCCAACTCGAAATTCGGGCCTTCAGGTTGGGTTGGGGTAGTCTGGTAGGTAGTCAGAGCCCGGCCACCGCTCGGGAAGCGCGGTCGCCACCCAGCGCGCAGCAGAGCAGAGGCGGCGCCTCGGCCTGGAAGAGGTCGCCGCCCGGGGCAGGGGGCGCCCCTCGGACCAGGGCGAGGGCTCAGACAGGAGGGGGGGGGCTGGAGAGGGAGGAGGAGGAGGAGGAGGAGGAGGAAGGGAGGAAGAGGAGGAGGAGGAGGAGGAGGAGGAGGAGGAGGGGAGGATCCCTCGAGGAGGAGGAGGATCCTTCGGAGGAGGGAGAGGGAAGAGGAGGAGGAGGAGGAGGAGAGAGGAGGAAGAGGACGAGGAGGAGGAGGGAGGAGGAGGAGGATGAGGAGGAGGAGGAAGGAAGAGTGGAGGAGGCGGAGGAGGAAGAAGATCCCTCGAGGAGAGGAGAGGAGAGGAGGAGGAGGAAGGAGGAGGAGGAGGAAGGAGGAGGAGAGGAGGGAGGAGGAGGGAGGAGAGAGGAGGAGGAGGAAGATCCCTCGAGGAGGAGGAGGAGGATCCCTCGAGGAGGAGGAGGAGGAGGAGGAGGAGGACGAGGACGAGGACGACGAGGACGAGGAGGAGGGCGGGGCCGCGTGGCCGGCCGCGAGGCCCGCCCGCGGCGCCGCGGCGGGCCGCGGCTTCAGGGCCCCGCCCAGGCGCCTCCCCGCGGGCCCTCGCCCTGCGAGGGGCGCCGGCGCCGGCGCGGCGCGCTTGCGGCGGCCTCCGGAAAAAGCAGCGCCGCGCGTCGTCGTCGCCCAGAGGAGGGAAAGGTGCCCATGCCCAGAGATCCAACGTATTGAAAAAATCAGGACGCAGGGTTTTCGTATTTTTCGGCCTCGAGGGGCCCTCGCCGGGCCCCGGGACCGTCAAAAAACGATTCAGGATGAAAAACCGGTCCTGGGGAATGGGTCGAGACTTCCAGGGACCCCGCATTGAAAACATCACGACATCGGATCTCTGGGTACCTCTAGCCTCCGCCCGTTTTCCACTCTCTGGGCCTCCTCGGAGGCCCTCGACGCCACCGCTGGATTCGCCTCGGAATTCTGGTCAGAGCGCACCCCGGGAGAGGTCCAGGGAGTAACCGTATCGGTACCTTCTGGTCTCCCCAGTCGCCGTCGTCGTCGTCGTCGTCGCCGTCGTCGTCGTCGTCGTCGTCGTCTTCGTCGTCGTCGTCGTCGTCGTCCTCGTCGTCGTCTTCCGGCGTCGGCGTCGGCGTCGGCGTCGTCGGCGGCGTGGGCTTCGCGGCTTCGCGTGGTCGTCGTCGTCCGAACGTCGTCCAGGCGTCGTCGGTGTCGCTCGTCGTCGCCGTCGTCGTCGTCGTGGTCTTGGTCGTGGTCGCTGTTGTCGTCGTCCTCCGAGCTTCGTCTGGGCGTCGTCAGTGTCGCTCGTCGTCGTCTGGTCGTCGTCATCGGTCGCGTCGCGTCGGCCTGCTCCTTCTCACTGTTCCCCCCTCGCTCGCCGCCGAGAGGAGGATCAGGGCTCGATCCTCGATCTTCTTCGACCCAGGACCGACGGTTTCGGACCCTCTGGGCCTCGCGAGGCCTCCAGTCGGCGCCGAGCCCGGGGGGGAGTAAGAGCGGCCCTTCTCAGAAGGCTCGGAAGCCCCCTGGCTTTTCGAGAGGTCTCCTACGCCGTCCCCGAAGACACAGACAACCACTCAGAAGGCCAGAGGGCTTCCGAGAAGCCCCGCCGCCTTCTGAGGAGGCATTCGCCTTCTCACCTCCCCCCCTCGCTCGCTGCCGAGAGGAGGATCAGGGCTCGATCCATCCTCGATCTTCCTCGAGCGCGGACCGTCGGCTTCGGACCCCCTCTGGGTTGGGCGTCGCGTAACTGGGCGGCGATGCATGGGGTCTTGGGCAGCGAGGGCTGCAGGAAGGGAGCCTTTTTGGGCCCCTAGAGGGGCCTGCGAGGGCCCGAGGAGGAGGAGGAGGAGGAGGAGGAGGAGGAGGAGGAGGAGGAGGAGGAGGAGGAGGAGGGAGGAGGAGGAGGAGGAGAGGGAGGAGGAGGAGGAGGAGGAGGAGGTGGGGAGGAGGAAGGGGATTCTGGGGCCCGGAGAAGTGCACCTTTGCCCTCCCCCCCTCCGTTATCGCCCCCCCCCCCCCCCCGACAGGCGCCGCCTCACGGAGCGATGAAGAAACAACGGGGCTGTCTTCGCCGACTTCATCAGGCGCGCAAGTTGCCCGCGTGAGCTCGCGCGCAGGCGCCCGCGCGGCAGGCGCGGCGAGCCGCGCTGGCGCCCCGTGCAAGCCGCCGCGCAGGGTCGCTGTGCCATCTCGCGCAAGACCCGTTTTTTGATCGTCGCTCAAGTGGGCCTCGCGAGACCTCCAGGAACCTCCAAGAGAGGCCTCCTGGATAGGTCGGAGGTGGATAGAACCCCCAATAGTGACACGTCGATTAGTGAATTGTCCGTTTTCGGTTCTCGAGAGGGCGCCGTGGCCGTTATTTTCCATGCCTGCGCCCGCCAGGTTTGGGCCTCAGGTCGTTTTCACTAAACCACGTTTTACTAAAGGGGGGTCTGTCCATCCCCGAATAAGGTCCGAGTAGATAAGGTCGCAGGATCTCGCCGCACGGGCGATGCATCGGCCATGCACTGGCGACGTCGGCGATGCATCGGCGACGTCGGCGTGGAGAAACTTTGGCCCCACTTCGAGCCGCCCGCATCGCCGATGCATCGGCGATGCGGCGCGATCCCCCGACCCCATCTACTCGGACCCCATCTCTGGGCGGCCTCGATCCACAGGTCTCCACCTCGGGCGGGCGGGCAGCTCGGTCCATCCTCGCGCTCTCCCTCGGCCTCGGCCCCACCAGGCGGGGGGGGGGGGGCCTGGCGCCTACTCGGGCCCCGGGGCCCGGGGTCCACCACAGGGCCCGGCCCAGACGGCGTGTCGTGTCGATGCCGTGACCCGCCGCCGCCTTGATGTTTCGGCGGCGAGCGAGGGGGGGAACTGCGAGGTTCGAGCTTCGAGCTTCGAGGCTCGAGGCGGTGTTTCATCGTGCTCAGCCTCTGGGGGCCGTTTTCGGGCCCAGGGGCCCCTGGAACTCGATCTGGGGTGAACAGCCGCGTCGGATGAACCCCGGGAGGGGTGCGGGGACGGATAATCGGCGGCGCGCCCAAGGGGGGGGAAGTGAGAAGGAGCATGCCTCCTCAGAAGGCGGCGGGGCTCCTCAGAAGCCTTCCGACCTTCTGAGGAGTTGTCTGTGTATTCGGGGGAGGCCAGGCTGGGGGGACTTGCGAGCCTATTGAGAAGGCCCGCCCCTTCTCGCTTACCCCTGGGCTCGCCGCCGAATTTCGCTCTGCAGCAGAGGCGGACAAAACGGGTGATAATGACCACAACACGAGCATGGAAAGTACTGTCTAGGTCTAGCCTCAGGAGGGATAACCACACAGACACAAGCAACCGTCGATTCGAAGGAAAGAACAGCCAAACATGGGATGTGGGGGGAAGACGAAAATCCAGAAATGTTGAACAATGGTGGGAATCATGGGATTTGTGTGTATTTATTTGTGTGTCCCTGGGCCCTTTCAGAGCCATGGACCAGCAAGCTTACGCCCCCCGAGTAGCGAGCACAGATCCGGGGCGAAAGCGCCTGCCCGCAGGGATGGCTGAGGCCTCCAGTCGAAGAGTGGCATAACAAGCATACTTACGTAAGCATAGATTTCAGTAGGTCCGCGCGGATCCCTTGGATCGGCGCTGGACCCCACTAGGCGGCGCCAGGGTCGGCGCCAGAGGGGCCGGGGGCAGATCATAGAAACCCGTGCGGATCTCCCAAAACGTACGATCCTGCAGTCTGTCGGGCGTGCCGGCGGGCACCCCCGGAAGGGCGGGGGCGGGCGGCCAGCGGGGAGCGCGCCAGCGGCGATGCGGATCGGAGCCTGTTTTTTTTGAGGTTTGGGCGATAGCGGCCGTGCTCGTCCCCCTCCCCCTCCCCCTTCCCCCCTCGTCCCCCTCCCCCCCCCCTCCTCCTCCCCCTCCCCTTCCTCCCCTCTCCTCCCTCCCTCTCCTCTCTCTCCTCCTCCTCCTCCTCCTCCTCCTCTCCCTCCTTCCTCCTCCTCCTCCTCCTCCCCCTCCTCCTCCCCCCCATCCTCCTCCTCTCCTCCTCCTCCCTCCTCCTCCTCCTCCTCCTCCTCCCTCCTCCTCCTCCCCTCCTCCTCCTCCTCCTCTCCTCCTCCTCCTCCTCCTCCTCCTCCTCCTCCTCCTCCTCCTCCTCCTCCTCCTCCTCCTCCTCCTCCTCCTCCTCCTCCTCTGCTCCTCCTCCTCCTCCTCCTCCTCCTCCTCCTCCTCTCCCACCCGTTTAACGTCGCGCTATTTTGTCTACACTACATCGATTCGCCACACGGATTCCACGAGGATTTCCTGAGGTGTTCGGCGGCCCCCCGCCGTGGTGCGATCGGGGGGGACGACTTCCCCCCCCCCCGCCTTCCCCGATCGCGCGCCGATCCGAGGCCTCCTGGTGGACCTCGGGAGGTTCTGTCGGTTTCCCCTCCCTCCCCGCCGTGCATCCCGCGCCTCCCACTCAGATCTCCCACGATTTGTCGTCCTCGATCTCGGCCTTTTCACTCGGTCTCGGCCCCCGGGGCCTGTGCATCGGGCCCAGGGGCCATCAAGAACGGGTCCTGGACGAGACTACCCCCAGGGAAGAGGTCTTGGGGCCGCGCATCGCGCATTCACAGAACACACATCGTCGGATGTCTCGGATCCCACGACTGGTCGACCTCGTCGTCGCCTCCGGCGGGGCCAGGTACGGGCGGTCGTCCATGTACGGGGGCGGCTCGTCCATGTACGGGGGCGGCTACGGGAGCTCCATGTACGGGGGCGGCTACGGCGGCGGCTACGGCGGGTCGATGTACGGTAGCGCGCCCCCAGGACGACGAAAGCGGAGACGACAGCGTCGAGGGAGAGGGGAATCGGGAAAGAAGAGACGGGAGGAGGAGGAGGAGGAGGAGGAGGAGGAGGAGGAGGAGGAGGAGGAAGAGGAGGGGGAGGGGGAGGGGGGAGGAGGGATCAAGGCGGGGGGGGGGGGAGGAGGAGGAGGAGGAGGGGGGGGAGGAGCAGGACGGGGAGGAGGAAGGGGGAAGGATGAGAGGGAAGAAGAGGAAGTATGAGAAGGAGGAGGGGAAGGAGGGCGAGGAGTAGGAGGGGGGAGAGGGAGAGGGAAGAAGTACGTAGGTGGAATGATGATGGAGGAGGATAAAGGATGATTAGGAATGACGAGGGGGCAGAGAAGGAAGCAGGAGGAGGAGGAAGAGGAGGAGGAGGAAGAGGGCCAGACTGTCTTGACTGCGCTCGACGACCTGGAGCAGGCCCAGCAACCCCTCGCGGCCGCTCGCAGGGCCGCCCGCTTGCTGCTGCCGCTGCCGCAGCCCGGCGACGCGCCCAGGGGGGCCGACGCCTTCCCCACCTGGGCTTAAGTCGGGCACATCCGTCTACAGGAGGAGTATACAAGAGTAGTCAAAAAATAGGCTGGGGACGATTTTTGATTATTGTTTGATCATTGTTGAATATTCGTTGTTTCTTCGCTATGTTTCCAGACTCCGCCTGCAGGGGGACATGCCCGACCTCAACCTGGATTGACCTCGCTCAGCAATTCGCGCTAAGGGCGCAACAAAAGAGCTCGCGCCGCGGCTGGAACAGAAAAGCCTCTTGGCCCCGCGGGGCACACCCGCACCGCAGCGAGGGTCGCGCGAGGCTCGCCTCTTGCGGGGGCCCGCGCTCCAGAGGCTGGCGGCTGGCGACGCCGGGAGCCGCGGGGCAGCGCCTGAGCGACGCCGACTGCTGCAGCACGGCGCGCGCGCCCCCCGGCCAGGACTGGGGGGTTCCAGCCTACTTTGGCCTTGACCATCAGAAAGAATTTCGAGCGCCGAAAGGTGCCCCCAAACCCGAGGGTTGTCCCGCGTCGGGCCCTGGGGAGACACTGCTCCGACATTGTTGCGACACTACTTCGACACTCTTTCGGCACTTTTCCGGGTGCTCGAAATGATTTCTGGGATGTTCGGGGGCCCCCAAACGGGGTGGTGACCACACCGTGCGGTGAGTCGGTGGGGATTCGGGGTCACCGCACGGTTTTGGGACTTGGGTCGTTCTCCAAGGACGTCTCGGGCGACTGGGGCATCCGGGGTCCCAAGACCGTGCGGTGACGGACCGTGCGGTGAGGTCTCTTGGGGTTCCGAGGTCACCGCACGGTCTGTCACCGCGCCGTTTCCGGGACTCCGAGGGTGTGGTCATTCTGTACGATGGGAGCAGCATGAGGCCAGGATCCGGCTCCGCTGGAGGCCGTCTGCGCGAGCCGCGCGCGCGCCGGCCCGCGCGCTGGCCGGCTCTGCAGGGGCCGCTCTGCCGGCAGGGGCATAAAAGAGGGGTATAGGATCGGGATCAGTCGCTCCAGAGCGTTCCGGACGCTCTCAGAGCGTTCCGGAACGCTCTGGAGCGGCCGCGGCGCCCAATACATCCTCCAAACCCGCCGATTCTCAGAGATTTCGACTTCTCCCGATCCGATATTGTCCCGATCTTCGCGTCGTTTGAGGGCACCGCGCCTTCCGGTGCTCCTCCCGCGCCAAGGGGCGTCCAGCCGGCAGGCAGGCCCGCGGAGCCGCTGTGGAGGACGTGCGCGGGACGCGAGTGGGAAGAACAAGGCTCCGGCGCGGCCGTCCAGGTCCGCGCTCCCGCGTTCAAGCAGTGGCGAAGCGTCTTGGCGCGCCCATAGTCCTACCATAAAACGACGCGAAGATCAGGACAAAATCAGATCGGGAGAATTCGAAATCTCTGAGAATCGGCGGGTTTGGAGGATGTATTGGGCGCCGCGGCCGCTCCAGAGCGTTCGGGAACGCTCTGAGAGCGCTCCGGAACGCTCTGGAGCGATTTATCCCGATCCTAGCCCAGGTTTATACCAAACAATGTTGTAGGAACCCTCTGTGGTTCCCACGAAAGATTCTTAGAACATTTCTGGTTGGGGCTGTCTTGTCTTGTCACAGCGGGTCTGTGGTCCAAGAACATGGATTGCGCTCTCAGAACATTTTTGGGTTCTAAGAACATTTCGTGGTAGGACTATAGGAATGCTGGGGCGGTCGGTCTCAGCTCAAGCGTTGGCAACGATACCAGCGGCACGAGCTTCGAGCAGCCTGGGCCCTGCGGCGCCTGCGGACCGCCGAGGGCCGCCCGCCGCGAGGAGGGGCTCCCCAGATCGAAGCTCAGCGGGCGGGGCGCCGGCGACGTCGCGGTCCGGTACGCGGTGCCCGGGGACGAGGGGCCGGCTTTGAGTCGGGCGTCTCCCTCTGCAGGAAGACTTCTCAGAAGTTGCCAAAAGATACGAATTTGGGGACGGTTGCTCGAAGCTCTCCATGTCTTTGGATCTGTTCGGGGATTCGTCTTCTTCGTCCCAAATCCGCCTGTAGGAAGACGTGCCCGGCCTAAGGCTGGCCGCGGTGGCCGGGCTCGACGGTGCCGCCAATGCGGCCGCCGAAGCGGAGCAGCGGCGCCGCTGCCCGGAGGGCCGCTGCCCGTGGCCGCTGCTGCCGCCTCGCCCATGGAGACCGGAGGGCGTCACGGCCGGGCGGCGTTGCGCCACCTGCGGGAGCCGGCGCGCGACCTCGCAGGGCACGGGGGCGAGGAGCGCGCCGCGGCGGTGGCGAGCGCCTGGGCGCAGCGCTGGGCTCGGCACCGCTCGGGCACGCGCATCTTCTCTCGATAGGGACCATCGAGGAGCATGTTTGTTCACGGTGCGAAGAAAGACACGCACGAGACCGAAAAATGCACAGGGAATGGACGTCCGAGCGATGGCGAGTAGGGCGCTCGGCTGAGCGTGGCGCTTCACGCCGCCACCGCCCGCCGGCTACGCAGCGCGCTGGGCCAGGCGGCGGGCGCAGGCGGCGCGCGCCGCCCTGGCCGAAGCGCAAGCCGCCTAGTTGGGCAGGGGTGCCGTTCGCCTGCGGTCGCCAGTTCCTGATGTTCGCGGGGGTCGTCACTGGGGGCGAGCGGGCGCACAGACCGTGCTCGCCTTCGCAGGACGAGGACGAGGAGGAGGAGGAGGAGGAGGAGCAGGAGCAGGAGCAGGAGCAGGAGCAGGAGCAGGAGCAGGAGCAGGAGCAGGAGCAGGAGCAGGAGGAGGAGGAGGAGGAGGAGGAGGAGGACGAGCATCGTCAGCAGCATCATCATCAGCGTCATCGTCATCAGCGTCACCACGATTCACAACATCAACATCCACATCATCGTCATCATCTGCAGCACCTGCATCACTACCACCATCACCATCATGACCATCACGATCAGCATCATAGTCATCATATTATTCATCATATCATCTGCATCCGGTACATCAGCATCACCATCAACATTCGAACCCCCGTAATCATCATCACCATCATCATCACCGCCACCAACATCCTCACCAACTTCATCGGCGTACACATCAGCAGTCTCGCTGTCATCAGCCACATGTCGGCACGCCCATCACACGTTTCGCAATCCCACCGGAAGCTGCACCGAAGGCCCCCCTGGGAGGTTTCGCATGGCGACGCCGCGCCCATTTCGGCGCGCCCCTCGCGCACTCCGTGGCCCCATTTGGATTCCGCCGAAGGCCCCGGCCCCTCACATGTTTCGTGACCCGGCAGGGAGCTCCAACGCGGGCCCCAGTGGCAGGGCCCGCGAGGCGCCGCCGGACCCATGTCGGCACACTCCCCACCACGCTTCGTGGCTCCCTAGGGAGCCCCACCGATGGCGCCTGTGGGGGCATTCGCACGGCGCCGCCGCACATGTGTCGGCACACCCCTCACGCCTGGCCACGCGCAGAAGGAGGTAGGGGGAGGGGGGAAGGCTTCTTAGAAGCACCCCTGCTTCTTAGAAGGCGCGGGCCTTCTTTGTAGATGTAAGGCCGGCGCCTTCTAAGAAGCAGTCTGCTTCTAAGAAGCCCTCCCCCCTCCCCCCCACCCCCTCGTGCGCGCCGCCAACACACGTTTCGTGGCCCCGCAGCGAGCTCCATCGAAGGCCCAAGTGGGAGGGTTCGCACGGCACCGCCGCGCCCATGTCGGCGCACACCTCACGCGCATTCTCGTCTCAGAGTGAGCTCCACCGAAGGCCCCACTGGGGGTGTTCGCATTGCACCGCCGCGCCAATTTCGGTACAACCCCACACGCTTCGTGGCCCCATAGGGAGTTCCACTGGAGGTCCACTGGGAGGTTTCGGGTGGCACCGCCACGCCCACTTCGGCACGCCCCTCACAGTTTTCGTGGCCTCGTCGAGAGCTCCACCGAAGTTCGGCGACCTAGATAAAGATAGGTCCAATATTTCCAGGAATTCCAGGTCGTACCGACGTCCCGCACGAGCTCCAGAAGCGAGGGCTGCCACACGTTCCAGAATGTTTGGAACGCGTGCCGAACCAATCGCATCGCGGCACCATCCCCGCATGGTCCGAGCTGATGTTTGTTTCGCGATTTCGTGGATAGTTTGAGATCGCTCTGCAGCCAAAGGCGAATGGAGACTGAACGAGGGAAAACGATCACAAAACGAAAACGGTAAACACTGCTCACAGCCATCCCGCACAGTAAGGTTGAGCAACGAACTCTCCAAGGTGGCCCTTGCATCCTTGACCTTTCGGCCCATGCTTGGCCCCTCTCTCTGGCCGCGCCACGCTCGCAAAGCGTCGACGTGGCCTCCCAAGGGCCTCGCATCCTTATCCCCCCCTGTCCCCCAATCTCAAAGTTGGCACGCGCGGGGGAGACTGCGGTCGAGGTGCAGCTCATCAGACCCACCGCCAACTTTGAACACTGGGGGAGGGGGAGGCGTTGACAGATGAATGTGGCATGAGTGTTCGCTATTTTTTTAAGGCGCGCCTTTGCAAGCACGTCGATTTCGGCACCGCCTGATCCCGAGGCTTTGCCTCTTCCCGGCCTCGCCCTGAGGCTGCGCTCTCCCCCCTTCCTCCCCCTCTGTGTTAATTCAAGCTTCGCGCGGCCCGCTTAGCTTCGACTGGAAGAGGTGCGCTCTCGACCCGCGAATCAAAAGAGTGTTCGCTATTTTTTTTCCGAGGCCTGTCGTGCGTCTTGATTCTCTGGCTTACGCCACACCGCCGACCCCTTGGGGTGCTTTGTTTGGGTGCGTCGTTTTTTTTTGCGGGGCGGGCCGTGGGCGGTCCGGCTGCAGATGCAGGTTTTGTGGTGTACGTGTGCGTTTCCGGGTAGGGGTGGGGTGAGGTGGGTCTCGAGATACGTGGCAATCACCCGCGTGAAAGCTCGTGGAGGTTTGCTGATATATCGCCCGTTGGAGTGGGAGCCATATACCCAAGGTGACATGGAAGGGACGAAACATATGCTAGGCAAGTTGCGCGGGGAGGAGGTGCCGTCGGCGGAAATAGAGGCGAAGTTGATGCCCCGTAAGGCGTGCAGTAGATGTAGCGCCGTGAAAGAACAAACGGATTTCACGCCCACAGGGCTCAAGGAAAAGGAGGGGCCGAGTTTTTGTCGCGAGTGCACGGATGAGTTGAAGGAGGCAGGCGAAAAGTGGTGCACCGAATGCAAGACGTGGGCCGCGCTGGGGCCGAGGGCGCCGGAGAACGAGGCTTGTGGAGGGCGAGTGTATGTAAGGACGAGCAAGTGCGAGAGATGCGCAGGGCCCGCGACGGCGCGGAAGTCACGGAAGGAATCGGAAGCGTGGCAGGAGAAGGTTCAGGATAAGTTCAAGATTCGGTGCGCGAAGTGCACGAATTTCTTGAAGACGGAGGCAGAAGTGGCGGCGAACCAGCACGGTTCGAAAGGTGCGGGGGTGAGGCTTTGCAGGGCGTGCGCCCGCAAGGAGAAGGGTGGGCGGAACGAGAAGGCGGATGCAGAGAATCGCAAGCGAAAAGCAGAAGCGGACGCGAAGCCACTGACATGCTCGGCGCGCGGAGGAGCGTTCTCGGAAACGAAACATGGGAAGCAGAAGCAAGTGGCAGATCATCGACTGGCAAAAGGAGCCAAAGTGGTGTGCGGAGCCTGTAAGACACTCGGGTTCGCAGCGCGCAGTTGCCAGGCGTATCAGTGTAACGGCCCGTGCAAGAGAAGACTGCCAAAGTCTGCGTACCCCGACCCGCACAATGTCCCGCGCGACGCAAAGAAGCACCTTGAAGTGCAAGGCGTGCAAATCATGCCCACTCGGGTGCGCGTACTGGGGAGAAAAAAGGAGGACGGGGGAAAAGGATGGGCGGCGAGGCGGGAAATTGGGAGGAGAAGCGTCGAAGAGGATAAGGTGAAGCGGGGCAGGAAGAAGAGGAGAGGAACGAGGGGGAAGTGGAGCAAGCGCAGGAAGAGGAGAACAAGGGAGACCCTGAGTAGAGGCTTGTTGTATGTGGATGGGGGTCTCGCGGTACGCCTCTCCAGGGCCTCTGGAAGGCTGTTTGGAAGCCACCTATGCACCGGGATGGAAAAAAAGGGTGAGGAGAAGGAGAGGGACAGGGAAGTAATGCTCTTGGTCATGGGTTATGGGTTAGAGGCTTCTTGGATGTGTGTTGGGATCTCGCGGCACCCCTTCTCGGAGGCCTGTCGAATACGGTTTTGAAACCATTCGGGGGCCGTTTCGGAGCCTCTGAGGGGCTTCCTTGGGGTTTTTTGGGGCGTCTTGGGGGCCTCTTGGGGGCCATTGGTGGCCTCTTGGGGTACTCTTGGGGCCCCCTGGTGGTCCTGGGGGCGGAAAACTAGATGTTTTGAATTAGTTGTGGCCCTCTTGGGCCCCTCTTGGTGCCGTCTTGGAGCCCTCTTGGGCCGTCATTGGGACCTCTTGGGCCGTCTTGGGGCCGTTTTCGGAGCCTTTGGGAGGTTTCTTGGGTGTTCCTTGGGGCGCCTTGGGGGCCTCTTGGAAGCCTCTGGCGGCCTCTTGGGGCACTCTTGGGGCCCCCTGGGGCTCCTGAGGGCGGAAAGCTAGATGTTTTGATTTGTTCGTGGCCCTCTTGGGGACCTCTTGGTGCCGTCTTGGGGACCTATTGGGCCGTTTTGGGACCATCTTGGGCCGTCTTGAGGCCATCTTGAGCCGTTTTGGGGCCGTTTTGTATGCCTCTTGGGCCGTCTTGGGGCTGTCTTCGGGGCCTCGTGGGCCGTTTTGGAGCGTCGGGAAGCCGAAAAGGCGAAAAGACAAAAACACAGAAAAACATAATGGATAATCAACAATTTTAGCCTCTCGGGGCCCTCTTGGGAGGCTTGTTTGGGACCTCTTGGGCCGTCTTCAAGGCCTCTTGGCCCGTCTTGGGGTCATCTTGGGCGTCTTGGAGCGCTGGTTTGGCGTCTCGGGGCCCTCGTGGGCCGTCTTGGAAGCCTCTTGGGGCCTTCTTGGCCCATCTTTAGGCCTTCTTGGGCCCAGAAGAGCCCGTGAGTCGCTCGTCGGGGGCCCCCCCCCTCCCTCCAAATCGACCGGACCGGGCTCCCGGGGGAGGGGTTGGGGGAGGGGGGAACATCTCACACGCCGATGATCCCCAAGGGGTCGGCGGATTCTGTTGGTCGACTGCACCCGGAGCCGGCCCGTCCCCTCCGGCCGACATCGGGCCCGGAGGCCACGCGCCGCGGGCCCCCCCCCACACAGCCCCTCCTGCATGAGGCCCGGGCGTCGCACTTGTTGCTCGAAGTGGACGACGACGACGACGACGACGACGACGACGACGACGACGACGACGACGAGGTGACTGCAGCTCGAGACCTGCACATCTTCGCTCGGCGGCGAGCGAGGGGGGGAAGTGAGGAGGGGCGGGCCTTCACAGAAGGTTTGGAAGCCCCCCGGCCTTATGAGATGTGTTCTAAGCCTTTCCCGAAAAGCACAGACAAACAACTTCTCGGAAGAGCGGAGGGCTTCTGAGAAGCCCCGCCGCCTTCGGAGAGGATCTCCTCCTTCTCACTCCCCCCCCCCTCGCCAGCCGCCGACTCGCCCCCCTCCCCCCCAGAGACAGGGGGGCCGTGTGCACAAGAGCGACCAAAAACAATCACCATCCAAATTGAGATCAACAAATTCTGTAGGATTCGTCTTTTGGAAGCTGGTCCTGAAATGCGGTAGACGGAAACAAAGTCGTAAACACCCCCCCTGCCCCCCAATCTCAAAGTTGCCACGCGCGAGGGAGACTGCGGTCGAGGTGCAGCTCATCAGACCCACCGCCGACTTTGAACATTGGGGGGAGGGGGAGGCTTTGACAAATGAATGTGGCATGAGTGTTCGCTATGTTTTTCCGAGGCCTGTAACATGAATTCTCGTGGCCAGGGGCCAGGGGGGCGGGGCCGCGCCGCCCGCGAGGCCGCGGCATGGGCGGCGGCATGTGCGCCGCCCCCCCCCCCCCCCGCGCCGGCTCGGCGGCCTGGGGCCGCGCGCGAGGCGCGCGCGGCGCGCGAGGCGCGCGAGGCGTGCGTGTGTGCGTGCGTGCGTGGGTGTTTGTCTGTGCTGTGCGTGCGTGGGTGTTTGTCTGTGCTGTGCGTGTGTGTGTGCATGCGTGCATGCCTGCGGGTGTTTGCGTGCATGCGTCTGTGCGTGCGTGCGCGCGTGCGTGCGCGCGTGCGTGCGCACGTGCGTGCGTGCGTGCATGTCCTGTGTAGGCTTCGCAGACGGTGTCGGAGCAAATGGGGTCCGAGGATCGCGCCGCATCGCCGATGCATCGACGATGCGGCTCGATGTGGAACTCGATTTCTCCACGCCGACGCCGCCCCGCCGACGCCGCCGATGCATCGCCGACGGCGCGATCCTCCGACCCAATCTACTCGGACCCTATCTAGGAGGCCTTTAGTGTGTGTGTGTGTGTGAAAGTGTGTGAAAGTGTGTGTGTGTGTGTGTGTGTGTGGCGTGTGGTGTGTGTGTGTGTGTGTGTGGTGTGTGTGTGCTCGACTTCACGTAAGAGTAGCCCTTCGCCGGAGGGACCTTTGGTGCGGGCCCATCGGGGCCCCCCCCATCGCCAAATGCGATGCGATAGCAGCGTGTTTCGCGCTTGTGGTTGGTCCACCCGCGGCCCCTAAAAAACCGCGCACAAGGTCACTCTGAGGATGCATAGGGAATCTCTGAGATCTGGCAGCTCTGGAGGATATCTCGGGCGGTGGTACATGGGGGGGCGGCGAGGGCTGCCAGAAAAGAGCCCTTCCGGGCCCGTGAAGTTGCCCTTTCGGGTCCAGAAGGGGGCTTTTAGGGCCCGAAAAAGCGCCCTTCTTCAACCCCATTTTCGCCCCTCGCTAATTCGCGCCCAACTTGAAGGATGCTCTGCTGTCCTAGGTCTGACCTGCACTGGGCATAGCAATATGGTTGATGCGTTTTGCAATGGCACTGCGGCGCCCCCCAAATCGTCGGCGGGGCGGCGTGGAACGCGGCGCGACAGTGGCCGGCTTGCGGAGCGCCGGCGGGGGCTCCAGGCTTATTCGTCCTCCTCGTGCTCCTTCTCGTCCTCCACCTCCTTGTCTTCCACCTCCTCCTCCTCCTCCTCCTCCTCCTCCTCCTCCTCCTCCTCCTCCTCCTCCTCCTCCTCCTCCTCCCCGTCGCCATTTTGGTTCAAGATGATGACCTGGGGGGTTGTCCAGCCTCCAGGCCGCAGGGTGACCTCTGGACCGAGGACAGTCCTCTGACGGGCGTCGGGCGCGCGCGCGGCACCGCAGCAGCCATGGGGCGTGGCGGCGGCGGACGCGGGGCGGGCAGCGCCTGGACGGTGGCTCCGTATGGCCAGAGGGCTCCGTGGAGGAGCGGCAGCTATGTGGTGCGCGCTGGGTGCAGCATGTGGCGCCAATGCAGGAACATCACCAGCAGAGACGATACCTGCATATGTGGCGCCAGCGTCGCCCACCTCGTGCCAGAGGGCCACATCTTCAAGGACGACGGCGACCGCAGCAGGCCCAAACTCCCATGGGGACGAGCAGGGGGAAATGGCTCGCCGAGGGTCACCTGGGCGGATGGATGGCAGCAAGGAGGTGCAGGAGGCAAGGGGCGTGGAAACCAACAGCAGCAGAGCCCCTCCATCACCCTCCAGACAGCTGCAGCCACAGCGTACAACAAGCTCTCCAAGGACGACCCCGCCCGCACCCACTATGAGGCGCTCTGGCCAGGACTGGTAGCAGTCAGCAAGCAGCAGCTGCACCACCAGTTGGACCCAAAGCAGCGGATGCAGCAGCCAAACGATTGGACTAGATACAGAAGCGGGTTCGAGTAGCAGGAGAAGCGGTCGAGAGCGCCAAGCAGAGTCTGGCAAACAGTGATCGCAAGCTGCCTGAGGCAATGGAGTCGGCCATCGCAGCAGAGGGGGAATTCGACGCGCTCAAGGCCCAAGACGTCAAGCCTGAACCAGCTCCAGCAGGCGCAGCAGCACCAGCCGACATGCCCGACCTGGCCGCCCTCTTGGAACAGTTCGGGAAGCAACCCGGCGACTTCCACAGGTGGGCAGAGCCAAAGGAAGAAGTCTGGCGCGCGGCGATGGCGAAGGGCGAGGCCATGGCCAACAAGGTCTAGGAGCGCGAGGCGGACGCGGCAAAGCACCTGCAGTACCTGGCGGAAGAGACGGCCAAGCACCAGGAGCAGCTGCTGCAGATCGAACAGGCCCGCCTCGAACGCCAATCAGATGCAGCAGCGGACCAGGCAATTCGCTCGCAGGGCCCGCCAGGCAAGAAGCCCTGCCCGAGCCCAGCGCCACAGCGCGAGCCAGCAGGAGAGTCAGCAGGCTCTGGGGCAGCAGCAGCAGCGGCCAAGCCCACCAGCGCCGCTGAGGCAGATGCCCTAGGCGAAGCTGCCAAACCAGATGCAGGAGCAGGCACCGAAGACGAACAGCGCCGAGCTCGAGTGGGTGCTCACATCCAGCAGGCAAGGGACAAGGCCGCCCAGGCCCAGCGAGCTGAGGTCTCCGTCGCAGAGGTGCAAAGTGGCGAGTCCCCAGGGTAGTCGCAGGAAGGCGCGTTGGAAGAGCGCTCGCCGCCAATTTCACGTCGTCTTCTTCAACATCACCACCTGGGGGGGCCCAGGCGCAAGGCTACCTCGAGGAGATCAACGGCGCGAGAGACAGAGACACCATCGGCATGGCGGAGCACCACCTGCGCCAGACAGCGCACTCAAGGCAAGAGCGGCCCTGCGGAAGAGCGGGTTTCGCAGTTACTGGACCAGAGCACGTCCAGGATAAGGAGATGACACCAGAGGATGCACTTGTGCCCTCGCGCGCAGCACGCTGGACATCCAGGTCAGCGACATCGCGGCGGTGATCGCCAGCCTCCACAAGGTGCGCTTCGCGGCGGCCTTCATCCACCTGGGGCGTGGCGCGGGCCTGGCGGGCAGGAGCGTCGACTTGCCCTGCGACCTGCGCGAGAAGATGGCAGTCTGGGGGGGCCCCCGGGCTGCCGTGGGCGACTCCAACATCGCCCCGTCGGAGCTCAACGGCAGCATCTGGCCCGCGGTGCTAAATGCGCAGGCGATTGCAGCGGGGACGGAGGCCCCAACGTGTTTTCCAGCTGCGGGCACAGCGCGCTGCTTAGACTACGCGCTCATCTCGACAGGCCTCGCGCCGCACTTCGACGAGCTGGAGCTGATCGGGGCGGTGCCGTGGGGGCGGCGCATCGGAGTCAGGCTCAGGCTGAACGGCAGACCCCGACAGCTCAAATGGGGGGCCCTACGAAGGCCAGCGGCCATTCAGCCGCCAGTCGCCCTGGAGAATGCCCAAGTCACGCGCAGCCTGCCGCGGGGCCGCTCGAGGAGGGCAAGAAGCAATGGGAAGGCGACAGCAAGCGTTTGCTGGCGCAGGCTGCGAGGGCGACGAGAATGACGCGGAGCCAGTGCCACATTCGCACTACGACAGGGAGGTGCAGCACGTCGCCCAGGATGAGCTCTGGCTGGCGACGGCAGCCGAAGTCCGAGTGCGAGCCCTGGGCGAGCTCCCCACGCACTTGCAGGGCGCGGTCGTGGGGCGCTGATCGGAGTCGACATGCTGGAGCTAGGTCGGCCGTTTGGGCAGTTTGCGGACGCGCTCGAGCTCGGCCTGCACAAGAGCGCGGGCATCCCCGACGACGAGCGCGGCAAGCCCCTTGGGCACGGCAGGCCGACGCGCTACAAGAGCATCAGCATCCAGGGCGCGGCCTCCGCCCTCCCGTGGGCAGGCGTCGAGGGGAAGGCGAGCGCGCGGTGGGCGGAGATCGCCTCGCTTGCGCGCCAGCTTCCGCATCGCGACGCGCGCGCCCGGGGGGGGGGGGGGGCTCGCCAAGCCCTCAAGCCGCAGGCCCAAACCGACGATGATTCAGGTGGTGGAATGGGCCCGTCGGCGCCTGAGCCCGGCGCCGCCGCGTCGCCAGGCCGGGCGGCCAACGGCGGCAGGGTTCCCGCGCCAGCCATGAGCCCGTCGAAGAGCACGGGGGGGCGCTCGGCGGGCCGCGCCCCCGCCGAGCGGGGCCAGGGCCCCCCCTCGCCGCCCCAGCAGCAGGGGCAAGCAGACAGAGGAGAAGGCGACGGCGACGGCAGCACCAGCACCATGCACAACGACACGAGCCAGGCAGCGCTGGAGGAGGTCCCCCCATCCCCAGGCTGAGGTCCAGGAGCTCGCGGGCAGGCCGGAGAGGGGCTGCGGCGGGCGCCCTTGCTTTATCCCAGCACCGCCGCCAAAGGACGCGCCCTGGACCTCTGAGATGGATGGGCCCGCTTTTCCCAGAGACGAGGGCGCGCGAGCCCGGCCTAGAGCAGGAGGCAGGCCCCCCCTCGCTCTTCTTGAGATTCCCATCGCCCACCCAGGAGAGTGAGGCAGTTCATGGGGAGGTCGCCACCTCCTGCAGTTCTGAGATGGGGCAGGGGTTCCCGCCCCGCAAGCGCGCCGCCGCGGGGCGCGCCCCAGACGTGGGCCAGCCCCGCGGCTGCCGAGGAGGTGGCGCAGAGGGGCTTCAGAGGGGCGCCCTTCCCCCGCCAGCAGGGCGCAGCACCGTGGACATCGAAGATTCCGACCCCTTCGAAAATGAGGGGGGCTGCTTCGGGCACCACCGGCAGCGGGGCGCCGGGGAAAAAGCTTGGCGCCAGCAGCGGGGCAAGCGGGGGCAGCAGGGCCCCAGCGCAACGGGGGGCTAGGCCGCGCCCAGCCCCAGCGCGGCGAGGGCAAGGCCACAGCGGGCCCCAGCGCGACGAGGGGCCAGGCCGCGGCGGACCCCGGCGCGGCGAGGGGTCGGGCCGCAGCGGGCCTCAGCGCGGCGAGGGCTTAGCACTGGGGGGAACTGGCAGCACTCGAGACACGCTGCGTCGCGCACTCGGGAATGAGCGCCAGGGCGCAGACCAGAACCCCTGCCACCAGGGGCAGCAGCAGGCGGCGCAGCAGGTCAGTCACGCGATCCC